TTTGGGGTAGTAAAACCTGTCTGAAATAATTGTTTTGGATATTAAGGGGAAGGTGCTTGAACAGAGAAAGAAAAAACATTCTGGATAAAATGCAGTGAGTGTTTCAGGGTGCATCAAACTTGCACACCTCAAGGAGTGTGATTGTTCCAGCATCTGAAGTCATCTTCCAGTTGTTGGGCAGAAAACAAAACTGACATATGTGATACAGCATGAAAAGATTACGAGATGGTGAAGATTAAAACGGGAGTGAGAATGGGGTGATTTTACAAATCTCTGTGTTGTAAATGTTGCTTTGTACTGTGCTAACATATGTGCTTTTTTCCTTTGGGCAATAGGTCAGTCCATAGTGGGATGTAAAGCCATTCTTGTTGGTGACCAAGTCTTTGTGGTAGTGGCACAGCTCTTTGGTGGCTCACACATCTACAAGTATGACGAAAGCTGGACGAAATTTGTGAAATTCCAGGATATCGAAGTATCTCGCATTTCCAAACCAAATGACATAGAGCTGTTTGAGATAGACAGCGAGATGTTTTTTGTTATAGCAGATAGCTCTAAGGCAGGTTTGTCAACAGTGTACAAGTGGAATAACAAAGGTTTCTACTCCTACCAGTCACTTCATGAGTGGTTCAGGGACACTGATGCTGAGTTCCTGGATATAGATGGGAAATCGCATTTAATCCTCTCTAGCCGCTCACAGGTTCCCATCATACTCCAGTGGAACAAAGTTTCAAAGAAGTTTGTCCCACACAGTGAAATCCCCAACATGGAGGACGTCTTGGCTGTGAAGAGTTTTAGGATGGAAAACAACCTGTTCATCACCCTCACGAGGTTCATTGGCGACTCCAGAGTCATGAAATGGAATAGCAAACAGTTTGTGGAGATACAGGCTCTTCCCTCCCGAGGAGCCATGATACTGCAGCCTTTCTCCTTCAAAAGTAATCACTACCTGGCCTTGGGAAGTGACTATACCTTCTCCCAGATATACCAGTGGGATGGGGAGAAGAAGCTCTTTAGGTTGTTTAAAGAAATCTATGTGCAAGCACCGCGTTCGTTCACAGCCGTGTCAACAGATCGAAGAGATTTTTTCTTTGCTTCTAGTTTTAAAGGAAACACACAGATATTTGAACACATCATCATTGACCTGAGTTTATGAAAAGCTGCTGGAGTGAAATTCATTTAAAATGGCATTTATACACAAGCAAAACAGAGACCTGTCCAAAAATAGGGTGCACCTGTGGACCTGTGGACAGCATTTTGCGGGCCTTGGAAACTTGCCTATTAATCAGGGATTGCATCTACTTGGTTACTGCATGTCATGTCCATTTTAGCCTTTTTCAAAAACACTTTGCAATCTGCAGTCATTCAGAGGAGAGTGCTATGCATTAAGATTAATTTTGACATCCAAGACTGGTCTGCATTTTACCCCGAAACCTGCCTTAAATTGGTTATCTCATTTAAAAAAAAAAAAAAAGGGCAAAGAGGAAATCATGCAAAGCATAGAAAGGTCTTGATTCCTAAACTAACATCTCAGTAGTGATATTTAAGATGGGAGGCAGCTGTGCATAGTTGCTGATGGACTATAAAAGTGAACGGCAACTTTCCAAAATGCGCTTTTTGTTCGGTTCTTGAGGAATGTCTTCAAAGTCTTTGTGGTTTATAATAAGCCCAAGGCATCACTTTAACTCATTGCAGATCAAAAGGAAAGCCATAATCCACTGCCATTTTTCTTCCATTAATCGGTATTTATTTCGGTAACAGATCATGCGTTACAAATAGCCCAGCCTGCAAGAGCTGTGTAGCCAGGAAAAGAAGGGTCTGTCACTTCTGGGTGGTGGCATCTTAACAGTGTTGGGTCACAGAGAGCTGCTTGGTGACATGAGGAAATCAGCTGCAAGCTCAGCCCAATTCATAATGTATTGGTAACTTTTCCATAAGTTCACCTTATGTGGCCCTCAGTCAGTCTTCCTGATGATTTTGAGTAGCTTCTGGGGCATTTTAAGAAGTAAGAAATCTGTCATGATCTCCTGCTCTTCTGGAAAGCACAGCTTCAGTTAATTTGAACGATACATCTGTGTTCACGTTCTCTGAGCTGTAGCTCTCCTGCACACAGGGAGCTCATTATTCCCCCCCTCAGAAGTCTCACTCCAGCGCAGCTCCCAAGCCATGAGTGCAGGTGCCAGCCATCACGAGCTGTGTTTGGGGAATCCTGCCTGAGAGCTAAATGCTACTTTGGTGGCACCAAGGCAGCCAGAACTATTTCAAATGACCCCTAACCCTGTTTTCAAAATAGAATTTTCCTCTTGATCATTCCAGGCTTTTGCCAGGATGCAAAAAGTCAGATTGAACAACAGGACCATGCTATATATTGGGTAGTCTAAAAATATTTTGGGTGGCTACAGATAAAGACATTCCCTTATCCTCAGCAGGGCATTCAGGCCATGCATGGAGCCTGTGTCAGGCCGTCTGCACCATATCCAAAAAGAGCTGCCTCCCAGAACCGCCTTTTGTTTCACCCCACACTGGGTTTCTTTAAACTTCCCTCCCAGTTGGCTGGTTTCATCACGAGCCTGTCTGTGGCACCCCAGAGCTGGGCAACAGCACGGCTTTGTGCAGACTGACACTCTCTTTGTTTGCTCCTCCGTGACGCAGGCCCTCACGGCATCTCTGTGCGGCCCCAGCCTCACTTTTTTGCCTTGGGCATGTGGAGACCTGCTCCGTTACCACAAACTGAGATGTTTCACACAGGTTTTGAGACATCCAAGAGGCAGACGGTGCTGCAGAAGCGGCTGATGCTCAAGGACTCCCATGAGGAGCCATAAACTACCAGTGACCTAGAATATCGCGGTTTTCAACAAATTTGTCTAGGTGCCATGAAATAAAATATAACTCATTTAATTGTGTTTTTAAACTCCGTGTTAACTTTCGTCCTATGCAGGTGCTCACCCTGGGTTTACTCCTAGCTACAGTTAGCAGCACTGCCCCAAGGCCTGGGCACTGCTGCTGACTCCTCATGTGGCAGCTGCTCTGTGGCGGCTGCCCCTGAGGCCTCTGCCTCTGACTGCTCGTGTGGTGGCTGCTCT